GGTATAAAAAAAAAAAGACATTTTTACTTGTTTATCTAGCAAAATGTGCTTTGTGGGGGAAAAAGAAAGAAAAAAAAAGGAAAAAAAGAAAAAAGAAGCAAAACCAACAAAAAAATCTTAGGAAAATACTCAGCAAAATGAGAACTTCTCTCATAAACACCAATGATATGTTCCTGGTTGAGCTCAGTGGCTGAGTGTACTGGAATTAAACACCCAGTTCCCACTGTAGTTTTTCTTCTATTACATCTCTTGTATACATATAGAAAAGAAAGGAAAACTAAATGTGGTAACTCAAAGAAGCTTTTGATATCATGCACAATCCTGCAAACTAGGTTACTTTTCTAGGGGATGACAGAAAGCACAGGTACAATCTAGGAGAGCCAGTATGGAAAGGGCAGAACTCTCATATTCACTTACATTGGGCTTCACTGAGGATTTAACCCAAACTTGCCGTATGTACACGCTGTGGAGATTCAAGCTCCTATACTGGTATGGATTTCGAGTAAAGACTCAGTGTATTGAAGAGATGAAAACTTGGCCCTCTGCTGCCTTTTAAGATGGACCAAAAAGGTAGTAAAAATGAGCTTAGTATGGGAAAAAGAAGCATCTTTAGGTTTATTTTATCTTCTTGGTACCTTAAAATGGGAAGTAACTGTAGATATGAAGGTCTGTCATAGCTAACAACTACTTTAAAATATTTTATGTATATCCAAACTGAATATGCTTGCAGAAGGGTCCAGCAACAACAGCAATTGATTAGTTAGGGTGAGAGTAATTACAGTTATGTTATGAAAATGGCAACAAGTAAAGTTTAAACTTTGAGTGTACTTTAAAAAAAAGAATGTAAGTGGATGGAAAATGAAACGGAATCAGGACAGGATATTTAAAATTATATTCTTTAACATCTTATTATCAGAATTTTGCTGTATTGGTTAATCAGAGACACATCAGCAGTTGGGGCAGTAACTTGGTATTATATTGTAATTATACAAATAGCATTTAACTAAGACTAAGAATCATGGTTTACTTTCAGATACAGATATGCTTTTCAATTATATTACTTAGCAGGTTTTAAAGAAGATCTTAACAAGAAATAACCTGTCATCTAAAGATCTTAAGATTCTAATTTGAATGTGGGCCTTACGTGTGCAATAATTTATTGAGAATTCATTGCTTGTCAGGCATGGAATATTTTAGATTCCCTAATAGAAGAGTTTATGTTTTATATCAGTTCATAGTAGATACATATTTGTGTGGTCCAAGAATCTGAATTAATGGGCGACTCAAAATAGTCAGGATTTTGAAAAGCATTGCAAGCTAAAACTGCCCAGCTAAGACAAAGACAGAAATGGTTTTATTCCAGCCACTGACAAATATGGTAAGTATGTATATCTGGATTGCATTTAAAAAATATTAACACCACGGTCATGCAAATGCTTCCATTTTCATTGCATTTGTTTATTTCAGGTGAGTAGGATCTAAGATAAAGAATTAGGCAAAAACTGTCACCAATTTTTAGATAAGAAATTTAACATTAAAAGGTTACTCAACTTCACTGAGTCAGGATCACTATGATATGAAACAGACAACTTTAAGAATTTTTTTTTAATTATTTTTAATCATTATATAAAACATTCAAATTCCACATAAAGAAGAGATAAAGCATTCAGGTGTTTTTATACAATTACTCACTATTATTCCTGGTGTCCTGAGTCGTGCTAAAGTGGAGAGAAACTTTAGCACTTTTTAGGCGTATCTGACCCCAACGTGTTACTGCCTGCAGTTCTACATTGTAGTTGCTGTTGGGTTGGAGTCCCTCCAGGACCACATAATTTTGGGCCTATAATAGAGGAGAATAAATATACAAAGTAGTTACAGTATTACTGAAACACAGGCCCTTATTAAATGCAGGCCTGTTATCTTAGGCACACTACTCTCTTGAAATTATAAAAGAAAACTCCTGTATAAATTTCAACAGAGCAAAATTTCCTTTCTTTAAAAAATACATTTTATTGGACTCTGTTTTTCTGTGTCATTTTTAAAGTACTAATGTTCTTGATGTTTACATAATTTTGGCAATTATTTGGCAAATACAGACACCTATTGTTTAGGTCAAAACTAAAGGGTTTGTTTTACATATAACAAGTTTTTTTCTTATGCCAAAATTATTTTAGCCAAAGAAATTTAAATGTTTTATTCCCCAATTTCTGTGTTAGCAAAGCAATTGAAAACTTTTTCTAGAGAAAGTCAGTCTGAAGATAGCTAAAATCCTACATTCAGTATATTTGTCAATATTTTCTATTTGTTTCAACTGTTGAAAACAAAAATGACCCCCTCCCCCAAAAACCCATAACCAAAAATACCCCTTCATTGGTTAGAACACTTTTCCACTATAGAATGGAAAACAGAAAAGAAAAAATACAGTTTCCATTGTCATGGAAGTGTCTTAAATGGGGAAACACCAGAGTAGGGTTATCATTCTCTGGTCAATAATCCATATATTAAGGTAAATCCCATGATATTACAAAGAAGAGCCAAGGTTTCTCAGTATTCTTACATTTCTAATTTTTTTTAATGTATTTATAAAAAAGCCTTTCTAGACCATATCTCAGACAGAAGACATTACTCCATGTTTCCATTAGAATACTTTGTGCCTCTGAAGCTTGACAGTCAATCCAGAGTGAAAAAGATAGCCACGTACTGGCATATTTAACACTTCAGGGACTGTCAAAAGCATTTCACGTCAATTACCTTTACTTGTTTTGTGTTGAGATAATTATAACATTGACTATAATGCTCAATTTTTTTGTGTTAATACTGTAGTCAAATTATTTGAAGGTCTACCTGGAATGATTTCATATGGAAATAATTATAAAATTATTTGGACTAGACTACATCTAAAGGTAAAAACTGGTTAAAAAAATCTTCAATGATCTTTAAAAAAGAAGATTTTTCCACCTTTTATTTTTTTTTAAGTTTTCTGCCATTTCAATTTTTAGACAGAAGAGTTGCTATAATATTCAAAGGACCATTGATTAGCAACAGCTTCAAGAGTGCCCTGTGGGGGAAGTCTGAATCACACTGTCATTGCCGTACACTTTCATGACATGCTGCAGAAGAAAAAGTCCAATGAGACAGGAGTAATATGAAAGATATTCTAAGAGCCTGCCTTTTCTCTAAAATATGCCTTGGCTCTTCTGGATTTCCCTATGTTCAAGGTCAGAACTTGGTCTCAATTACTGTAATGTTGTATATTGGATCTGTTTTAACATATTATACGTAGGATGTACCCACCATGCAAAGTGCCAATGCAACATTAAGAACCCAGCTCAATTTTAAAATTCTCTGGGTTTTGTGATTTAAGGACTAGCTTGTGGAGAGAAAGCTGTTCTGTGTCTTTAGGCTGTAGCCACTGTCATGAAGATCTCTAGCCAATGGCAGCTTTCCTGAGAAACACAAACTGTTGTACCTAGCACAGTCCAACCCTACTCCTATCTCGCCACAGTGATTTTTTAAAAGTGCAAGAAAGAACTAACTTTCTTTTCTATGCATATTTGCTTTTTTTTTTTTTTTTTAAAGTATTTAACTGCAGTAGAAACAAAGGACCAAGTTATCTCAGCCCCTGAAATTACTCCATATTGTCTACGTTTGCAGGGGAATTTCCTTTTCCTGCCTGCCCAGCACAGAGCTGGTGGTAGTGGCTCTGCAGCCTCCGGACCCTGATCACCCACCAGTTCCCATGAGAAGGCATGGGTCCAGCATGCTCCCACGGTGGCATCTCTGCTGTGTCCAATCTGCTGTAGATGAACTCAGCACAGAGCCTTCATTGCCTTTATTTCTCTCAGGGTTTGGTGACTGAGGGACAGAGAGGGAGCTATAACCCTCCGGCTGTCATTCACCACAGTGCAAGTGGGCAGCCAGAGCCAAAACACTGTTAACATAGACATGGGACCAAATTCTCACAATGCATTTATTAAGAGCACTGAGGATTACGTTCAGCCTGTTATCTGTAATCGATTTCTATTTCTATTGACTACTTTAAAATAATATGCAATATGCTTAAGGATATCACAACAGATAGTTTTCCAGTAAAGCAATATTTGATACGTCATTCAAGAAACTCGTAGGAACTTGCTGCTATGGAAATATGTCAGATCTTTGGTACAGCAGCTTATTTAAAGAGTTTTGGGGTTGTTTTTTTCCTTGGACCTATACTGACTATGTAATAGTTATTCTATATGATAGTGTCAAAAGTTTTATTTGCATAGTGAAAGAACAATGTGACAGATAACGTTAGGCTTTTTAAATAAAACAAGCACTATATCTTTAAGAAGCACTAATAAAATAAGCCTGAATTTAGAGGACAAACAGCATTTAACTTTCTGTTCACCTCTCCCACAAAAATCTTATAGTATTTACCTGCATTTTAAGGCAGAAGTCTACTTCTCTCCCTGAGCTCAGTGAAAGATAGAGATTGAGAGATCAAAATTGTCTATGGTGTTGGTGATATTAAAATTTAAGACCACTACTTTACCAGCTGCTGAAATCATTGCAGTTTATCACATATTTTATACTTACACTCTATTTTGTGCCAGAAATAAGCCATATTTCCATCTCATTTATTATTTTCTTTCTTACCCCATCGGTAATCTTCCTTCTCTTTTTTTTAGCTGGGATTACATATTTGCTATATGTCCAGCTCCAGAAGACTTTGTAGTGGTGCACTGGGATATCAGGCTCTTCTGGAAGATCCCAAGTAATCATTACATTTACACTCCCATCATTGTTTGCACTGATATTGGCAATTCTGATATTAGATGGAGCTGGCGGAGCAGATGGATCTGCAATTTAAAACAAACAAAAATATTCTAAAGTAAAGATTATCTTCAATAAGGTAAAGATCATCTTCATCTTATGTATTTACCAGGCATATATGAGCTGGATTAAACACTCTCAATACACTGAAGAAAATTCAGGCAAAAATTTCCCATAAGTGATATGGCTTCTTGTAAATTCTAGAAATTCAAGCGCTACTGAAATAAAAATGATGGGTTAGCATCTAGTTTTGTCATTATTCCGTGTTGTTGATAGTTCACAAATATTATGAAGCTTTATCAAAATGTACTAGACTATCAGTTTTACCTCTGTCATTCACTACTTCAAATACATAGTGAGTGTAAAACTTTCATGTTCTACAAGTGGCCTTGTATAGTCATCACAGCATTGTATGGTGGAAACACTGAATATTTTTTTGGTGTTGCCAGACAATTCTCAGATGATAAAATTATGTTTCTACTTGTTGAATCTTTCATCAAAATTCTATTATTGATATCTACTACCACCATACATAAACACTTCCTGAGAATAAATATAATTAAGATGTAATGATATATTATCAAGTTATAGAAGTCTATAGGGGTTTTTTTAGAACAACAAAAAGCAATGAGCTACCCCTGTGATTTATTTCCCTATTCTGGTTTAATTTCTCATCAATATCAACTGAGATTTTATTCCTTTAGTTGTCTTTGTTCTGACCCTAGAGTCAAGAAGGACACCTGACAGTCAGAGGTTCCAATATTGGACCTTTCCCAGTATTGAATGTTAGGTCCTTCTTGTGGACCTACTATATAATATCCTGCCCCTGAGTAATGTGAATCAATGGAAATTTTGCAACTGAGCTTCTGAAAGTCTAATTTGCTATTTACTAACTCCTACTTTTTTTTAATTGCCCATGGTAGCCAGACATTGGTGACAAAATATAAGGAAACTGCAAAATCAAAATTTAAGTAAAAGTAAACAGTGTGACTCAAAAAAAATTAAAAGTATATCAGGCAGAATAAAGGAAATTCATAGTAATTAAGGCATGTTATGAACCTGTAGCCAAGAAAAAACTTTAGAAAAAAACTTTTTCATATAACTTTTTAGCCAAATGAGCCATCACTTATTTGCCAGAAATAAAACTGGAGGTGTGCAGAGGGGACACCAGGCATTCATTTACTGCATGGTTCACCTACACCTTTTTATAATGGTAAATGAGCTGTTAAATAAACTTTCCAGGCATACTAAGTTCATCAGATAATCCTTATGGCAAACGGTCTCAGTGAAAAATTCCATCGTTTAGGTCATGCAAACTGACACATTCAGAATTAATAAAGACAGCATTTCCTTTTTAAAGATCAGCAGATGTGAAATAATGGCTTATTCCTGTTATTTAACAGGACTCTTGGTTAAATAACAATGGATGCTCCTGTTTCCTCACACATGCCATTTTAGTTAAATAGTAATGGATGCCCCTGTTTCCTCACACATATAATTCAACCTAACTTTTGCCTATAAAAGTTACAAAGCATACTTGAGTTTAAGAATTCTGGAAATTTAACTTAATTTTCAAAATAATGAGAATTCCTCATTTTTTCTCACTCATTTTTTTAATCAGCTTGCAAGCCAGTTCCCTTTTTTTTTTCTTCTGGCTTTGGAGAAGCACTGTTCTTACACTTATTTTCTTACCTGTGAAGTAGCCAACAACTCCATCTTAAAGTATACAAAGCTATTTATATCGGAGGGGATAAATTTAAGAGATTAATTTAGTTAAATGGTTTGTACTGCTCTTTAACACAACTTCTCATTTACTTCTATAGTTTAACAAAATAAGTAGATATAAATTGAAATTTAGGTACAATAAATATAAACAGAATCATGATTCATAAATCCAAAATCCTTCATCTTCACTGACTTAAAATGTTAGGGTATTTTTATGTTATATGACAATGTATTATGGCAATAAAACATTTATAACCTGAAGTGCAACATGATCATATTACTGTAGGTGAATTATTCAGGTTATCTCCCAGAAGTACTATGCATCATGTATTATGTATACCTTACATATTGGATAGAATTAAAATGTTTCAGAGAATGTCTTCACAAATGGTCAGATATAAGCAAAAACAATTCTAACCATAAAACATGTTTGTCTTTATTCTGCATCTATAAAAGACTCTGAGAGTCATTAAAAAAAATCTAAAAGTTAAATGAAATAGCTCTTCTGGAAAAAATGTATTACATAATTAAAAATATTTTAAAGTTCTATTCACCATTTTTTCATAGGTCTAAAAACAAATGACAAAATTTATGTTCTTCCTTTTCAAATATTTCTGTCCCCATAAGAATGCAAGATAGTGTGTAATTTTCCTTGTATAAAGTTAGTGATTGACCAGAACAGAGCTTTTATCTGTCTCAGACTCACAGGAATTTGGATTTTTTTAAGGTAACTTCAAACATCCCTGTTTTTCCCAGGAACATAAGCAGAAAAAGAAAACAGTAAGGAAGAATTATGTGCATACTGAAACCAATAGTTCATTTCTTCTGACTTCTATAGCACCAGCATTTCACCCTGTATTTCTTATAATTGCACAGTTTATTGAAAACTTTATCAGTAGCATTTATTCTGTGTTCACTAGAAACAGTCCAGTCAGCAGACAAAACGCTGATCCATATTTAAAAGAAAACCTAGTAGTGTTTCTCCTTTGCTATGGGAGAATGTAAACATTGTATTAAAAATCATTGGGTAACTACAGTTAAGGAAAGAAAGACCATCCTCTTAAAGGGAATAAACACGTGAAATAATACAGCAATAGCAGAAACATTTTCCTGAGTGCCCCCTTTCTTCAAAGTCTCTCTTTTGCAAGCCTCGCAAATGTCATCCACAAAAATGCCTTTGAACAGGAGGAAGAGTGGTGGTAGTAGCAGCAGACAACAGAAAGGAAGGAGATCTACAGTTGACAGATGTGAAAAGGCAAGACATTTGAAAGTGCCACATTTTCTAGAAGAGCTTTTTTAAAAATAGTAGACTTAGCTGGAGAAAATAATAAACTAGAAGGACGTAAGATGTCAAAGATGAACAAAACTTAATTTATTACTGTTTTGCATTTAATCATCTGAAAAAAACCCTGTCTGATTGTAGATACACAACAGTAAAATATTTCCTGGATTTGGGTGTATTACCTGAAATATGAAGCCACTTAGTGAGAATTTTATACCAGCTGAGGATCCATTCCATATTAATTATTTCAATACAACTATATAATTTATTCATCTATTTCTATATATTTCTGTGACACTCATCACTATTGCAACTGACAAAACTATCATTTTGTAAGCCAAAAAAACAAGAATATGGATCTTTTCTTTCATTTGAAAGGATTGAGTTTCACCAGCAAAACAAACAGGTGAGAAGGAATAGCAGCAAGGCAAGATATTGTGATCTCCGGTATTAACAGCAAAAAAACCCGAATGACACAAACCCCACCCTCAAAAACAAAACAAAACAAAACAAAACCCAAAAAAAACCCCAACAACAACAAAAGAAACCAGACCTCTCCAAAGCCCCCTCTGAAAAAAACAAACCCCCCATAAAACCCAAAACCCAAATAACTGTTAAGTATAAGAGCATGCTCCTCCATCATGCATGCCTGCCAGTTACCAGATAACAGATGAGTTGTTTTTTTCTGATTTTTTAAGCCTTCACTACTGCATTATTGAATGGAAAAGTCATGCTGCTACAAGGCGCTCTGTTATGCTTATGTCTATAGAGACATTAAAAGCAGTGTACAACTCATGCTGAAATACTTCCAGGTCTAATAACTGGTACTGGATTATAAAGCTTATATACATGAGGTGTTTGTTAACCTGACAATGAAGCTAAACTGGCATTCTGCTGACTATAATTCTAACAGCCATTCTGCTGTTAGTCTTCATATATCTGTGATCCCTTTGACTGCCCGCATGTATAATTCAGATACACGAACATTAAATGGAATGGAAACTACTGCCAGTTTTTCAAATGTAAAGTTCTGAAATTTTATATACACGAATTTATCTGAGTGTTAAATCAAATTCTTTGGTTTGCAGAAAGAGTGATGCTAGTTGCAGCTTTTCCTTTGCAGTTTATACTACCACTCAAATAAAATAGAAGTCATTATATATATTCTAGGATTTGGCACAGGGAGCTGTCCTCAAATCTGAAAAAGTTCTGGTCTCAGCAGCCTGACAAGTAAATCACTTCTCGCTGCTAGAAATGATAGCTTCATTAGGTCAAGGCTGAAGCTGCTGTTCCAGCACATGGAGTAAGTACTGCATTTGTCTGGATTGTATCTGGCTTGAGTATACCCAAAGGACTTAAATTCTTGTCTTGCTGGCTACTTAGCTATCACAAGCAAAACTCTGTCTCCAGTCCCCAAAAGGGAGGATTCCTTTCTGCAAATAAAAGAAAAAAAGAAAACCCTCACATCATCACCATTTCAAAATGCACATCCTCCCACGCTCATTTTTGTAAACATCGTGATAGACAATTTATATTTTACAAAATTCTTTCAATCAATAGGATCTGGAAGCACTTTGCAACCTTAACAAAACAGTATGGGCAAGCTATACACAAGAATCACATCATACGCTGCTGCAATGCATCCACTTTGGCTTTAAATGTGGCAACTGTAATGAAAACAGTAAATGATTTGGAATATATGTCAGAGAAGAAGATAATAACATTGGAACCAGAATTCTCATTCTAAGCTGTAAAAGTGATAGCAAGTTTGACTCTAATTTAAACCCTTTTTTTTAGAGCTTTTTTTCCCGACTTAAAATGGATCTCCCATTGCTATCTTTTAAACATTAGACCTTCCAACTCTAAAAATCTGCTGAAGCTGCTCTACAGACAAGTTTCCAACCATTAAACAATTCCAAGGCATAAGCGGGGGGACTCGCTTTGCCCAATGGAAATGGCACACATAAACCAGCTGTGCAACAGCATAAAAAAATCATTGGTCCCAAAGGAGCAACAGAAAGAATTTTATTGCCGAGAGTGGGTGTCTGTTCTGGTTTTACTAACACTCGGTAATATATGCATGAAATCACATCCAGCATGGTACTTATGTGCTGTGAAAACAATGTTGTCTGCTTCCTTTTGCTTGACAATTTATTCTGTATATGCTAGCAACTGCCTTCATGTTGAAGATAAAAACCTTTAGCAGAGGTAGAAGGATCGGACGGTTTGAGCTCATCGTGTTCATCTTATAGCCTCTTTTTGTCTCAGAAAATGGCACAGTACCTAACTACAGACCAGCAAGATAATGTATTATATGGAAATGCCTAACGCTGATCCCTCTAGTTGACTGCAGTCTCTGTTACTAAGAGTTCACTGTCATCATAAATCATAAAAAGCTAGAAAAAAATAGCCTAAAAAATCTTACCCAAATGCAACAAATTAAAAGTTGTATTACTAGTGCCGAGCAGCTTCTGACCAGTTGGGTTAGGCTATCCCATGCCAGCTTAATGGAAGAAAAGCACAGGAAGCTTTTCATCCAAGGAGACTCATTTACGGATTGCAGGAACAGTTGTTCCCTCCTGCTTCTAGAAAAATGAAGCAGCTTGGAGAGAGCCAGTCAAAATATGAAGAGAAATATATTTGTACCTTTGGGGATCAAAAATGTTCTGCCAGGCATTCTGTTAGCTTTATTTATTGCTGTTATTGCAAATTGTTGCCACTCAGTCGAAGATGAAAAGGAAAGCACATACAATTTAAAAACCTTGAAAAGTGAAGTGGAAACCACTGTCAAAATAGCAGAAAGTTTTGATCAATCTTAGCTGACAGTATCAATCTGAAAATGCATGTGCAGAGTCCTACTTCTACGAAAGAACCCACTCTCCTAGGTGCAGTATTTGCTTCATCTTCTAGCCACTCTGCTCCAAACAGATAGACATAGTCTAATATGTGGTCCCTGCAATTTTGGAATCGTATTTTGGCAAAATGAAGCATCACTTCTTTCCCTGTGAAGGGCCATGACAGACAAGCACATGAAAACCCTTCATTTCCTTTATACAAAAGAAAGAAACAGCATAAGAAAATTCCCTCCGCTTAAGCTCTGAATATTCCATAAATTATCTCAGCTATGTCACTTTGATTATTTATTTACAGATTAATGCCATAAATGAACACATGAGGCAGTGTAAAACAGTTAATAAACCTTCACCTCAAATGTTTACAGTCTAAGAGCATCAAAAGCTGCAGTAGATAAAACCTCAAAACACAACTAGATGAAGAATTGTAAGCTGGAATGTTTGATGAAATACTCTTGTTTTCCTGTTTTTGTCTTTTTCATGAATGGGAAATTAAACTAATTTGGATAATAAGGAGCTTTATTTAGTGATAGAAGTTAATGGAAATTACATACCTCCAAAGACTTAACATTATTTTGAATAAAACAAAACCTTACTTTGCTGTGTCTACTTAGAGATCACATTTTTTACATTTGCAAAAAAACACAAAATAGTATAAAAGAGTATTGTGGTAACTAGACAAAATTTTCTCTCCAAATAATTACAGCAGCAATGTTTTTGAATATTCTTTTTAACAGCTTAAAATATTTAGTGACAGAGACTTTGTGGTGCCATACTCCTCCCTAGATTCAGATTATATATTATGTTTGTCCTTCTTTAAAGAAAAAACAAACCCAAATAATTTGCTATTCTTTATAACTTATGAGCAATTGGTAAAAGTTCAGCATCTTGTGTGAGAAACTGTCTTAGGAATTGCTGTCATGTTTCCTGATCAAAGGGTTTCTTTTTGAAGAAAACTTCTGTAGGGTCTGATGAAGATAATAATCTTCTCTTGGTCTTGGCACAACAGGGTGAATTGAAACAGTACAAGAACTAATGTGAATTTCTGTCCACACGTCACACAAACGTAGCACAGACAGTCAGCAACGTTCTAAAGGTGATGTGCCAAAGTCCACTTTCCTTTTCCAAACTGGAGGTTAAATGAGCCTGTGGGAGCTCAGCGTGGGCCAGTCAATGCTGGCACTCAAAAAACTAGGCACATCTGAGCAGCAGTTCTTGCCTCTCTGCCAGGCAGGGGCCACCACTTCCCACTGAGCTCCAAAGTAGTAATTAAATGTCTGTATGACACTATAACTGTTACTGCTATGAGCGCCTACTCAGGGACATGGAAGCTAAGAGATACTGATTGAAGCATCCCAGTATCATTCCCGACAGTCACCACCTAGCAGTGTCTTCATCTGTGTCACCTAGCGCTTCTGTACATTTCATCTGGCAAACATGGTATCTTTATAATAACCACGGACAATACCAAAGCCTCTAAAATAGTCAAATGAGCTGCCAGAGTAGGATGATTTTGGCTATGAAGCTGATAGCTAACTGAACTCCTTGCTGTTTGCCTGGCAATTCACGATTCTCTGCCAAGGGCTAGAGTTTAGTTTTGAAAATTGTTATTTTGAAGGTTGTAGAAGCCTTTTGAACAATGCTGGCTACATACTTTCTGCCATTATCGAGATCCCATTACTTTGGTTTATTAGGTAAGAACATGCAGAGACACTACTGGCTCCTGCTGTCCTTGTCACAAAGTCCTAAAAGTGCTCCCTGCCTCTACCAGACAGCCGTGAGCAGCACTCAAGAAGAGCAAGTGCTTCAGAGGTAGCTGCAGAGACCACAGAAAAAGAGGACTCTGGTATCTAACATGTAATCATTTCAAAACCACAAGCTCCTGAAATGCAAATCACTGCCAGCTGGGAGGCTATTCTGAAGAAATATCCCTATGTCCTTACCCTGCTCTTAGGCTGTTCTCCAAAAACCCACTTTTGGCTGGGGTCAGATACTGGGCTAAAGAAACCTTCCGTATGACTTACCACAGATGTTCTTACATTCATTATCAATGTAGGTATTTTGAACAATATACTCCTGTGGCTAGCACACTCAGTAGGAGATGAATTTTTTGGAAAGTAATACAAATCCTGCCTGAAAATGTCACGCTCAAGCCAAAACCTCAGTGATACCATGATATACCTTTATGTAATTGCAATCATACTGGTTCCAAGCAGAATAGTTGGAAAATCTTTTCAAAGCCAGTAAACCAACTGACAACGATCTGAGTTTAAAAGAAAGTTGGTGTCTGATTCAGCAACACAGTGCTGTATCTGCTGAAGTGCTGCTCATGAAGAAAAGCAAAGAGAAAGCTACTGCTGCTGCTGAGTCCTTGCAGTAAGCTCAACAGAGCTTGAAGGAACTGTATTTTTGATGTGACTGAAATGATATGCTACTTAAGTATAATAAATTCTTAAAATAATACTTCTCTTACACTTGAAAAGGTTTGTGGTCACAGCAGTAATGGGATAGCTATGCCAGCCAACCTTCCTACCACAAATGTGGTTATAGCACCAAAAAATTATTGAATCTAAGGTATACTTATTCAGTAAGTAGTTAAATCATCCATACCAGCAAAAGCACTTGCATGCCTCTATAACTGCATCTACAATAAGATTTTTTCTAGGACTGACTATGGCCAAACAGCAAGCTAAAAGCTAGCACGGGAGCCCATAGATGGCAACTGCCTGTATTGCAAGATAATTCTATCTGCAGAAAGAGGAGGAAATGCATTCCTCGAAGTATGCGTTATACCAAGGTAAAGATTCTGCCACTACTAAAACAAAGACAAGTCTTTCTATTAGGAACTACCTCTATTAGTAGAGTAAAGAGTGATAGTTCTCATTCTTTGGCACTAAAGTCAACTAGCACGGTCTGGCTATGCCTACATTATCGACTGCCTTTAAGAGAGGGTGACCACATCCACACCATCTGTCTGTCGGAAATAGTTTCTGGCTTGTGCTATCTCCTATACTATGCCTGAGAGTCACCCGGGAAAATTCTGCTTCGCATGGCTCAAAGCACACCAGGAACAATGCCAGCAACTTCACAGGATGGGAGATCCATTTCCATCTCCGCCATCCCCCAAGTACCACTTACTGGTACAGAAATAATTTTCAAAGTTATTTTATTACCCAAACCCTTGCAAATCCAGAAATGGCAACAAAAATTCCTACAATACTTTGTGGATTGTCCAGCATGCCTTTCTAATGAACAGAAACATGCTACTTAGCATTTATACTTTTTTTATTCTTAAGCCCTTATGATTAGTGCTAGCAAGGGGAAAGTTATATTAAGAGAGCCTGCAGCTCCTCAAAACAATGCTGCTACAATTATTTAGATACAGGCAACAAAATATTTCAATATTCTGCTAAACATATGGCAGCAACATATTTCTCATAAGTAAAAAGAAAAAGAAGAGAAACGTCTTTGAATAACACACTGAAACCCCAGTTCCTTCATGTTTCATGGTCAGGGTCATGTTGTTTGATACCAACCGTGCGGAAAATGTTTAAAAGGAGGTTTATTCATTGAGACCCCTTACTGATAAAAGAATAATGACATCTTTAACCTTTAATTCCTTTGCTGACTTCAAACAAAACTCACACCATTTCTAAAGCCGGTGGCAAAACTACCCAAAAACCCACCTGTTAAAAACCTTCTGCCACAAAAGTAGGCAGGTCAGGTTGCGTTCTACGTGTGAGTGAGCGGAAGGTGAGCACCAGACATAGCGAACAAAAACTAACCTTTCGAGGATCTGAAGTGCTTGCTGGGTGCTGTGAAGCCTCTCGTCCCGTGCACATTCACGGCTGCCACACGGAACTGGTACCACCTGCTCGCTCGGATGTCCGGCAGCCGAACCCGCTCGTCCGTAGTCTGGTGGGGAAAATGTCACACTTACACTTGTTGTCCTGACATGGCTAGCTGTGTTGTCATCTTCCATGCAACACCGGTTAGTCAGACTGAAGGGTAGGGGATACACTTCTTTAATACACACCAGTGTCAGCAGGCTGTGTGCAACCACCTCACCTGACTCCGAGCATCATTCTGCACTGCAAAGCATTTACAGCTGCGAAAAAAATCATATAACCACCCAATTTTACAGTGCATTGCAGGTCTCTTCTGGAAAAAAGTAACCTTTAGAAAACTGGTGAAGTGTTAAATTCACAAAATTAGCTTTCTATTTATCACAAACTTCACCAGTGTATAGGGCCTAGCTGTTCGGGTGTTGACATTTCAGGGAACTCATTGTCCCAGGTCGCAGGACTCTTCTCCAATTCTCAATTCTCAGAGAATTAGGAGTCCAAAATGGCTTCACGAAATCCAGCGCTGTGAGAAGGCACCTTTTCTGGTTCATAGGAAACACAAAACCCCCAGGTAATGAATGTAAGCCTTCTTCAGATCTCTGGCACTTATATCAAAAAGACACTCACAGCCCTAACTCTTCCCTGCAGACCTTTCTCAGGTCATAGGAGATGACCTTTACTCCAACAACACCCACTGAGACTGCTAGTGTCATGAGTTCAATTTCCACCTTCTGTGGGGTGTGCCTTAGCCGCTGAAATATGGAATAAGCATAGATGCACTCTAAACCCTTTCAGTAGGAGGTGCTTTACGTGCTCTTAGTCTGAGCCCTGCTTTCCTCTATCTTTTTTTTCCCTTTTTTAAAGAGCTGTCTTCTGCACTGTTTCTTATTTTTCCTAAGGTACAAACACCAGAACTGAACACAGCCTCCTGGTAACCCCTGAATCACTGCTAAGTACAGAAGACGTAGCATTTTTGTAGAACTCATCAGAAACTCATCCACTTGTTGCAGATTTTACCTTTGCAATTACCTCTCAATTATCCAGTTTTCAATTTATTTTAGGATGTCATTTTTATTGCATTTTAATTTAATTCTTTAATCAAAATAACACATGAACCTGAACCAAATGTCCTGTATGTGTCTAAATATACTGTACAATCACTACTGAGTATCATTACTGACCAAACATGCAAGCTCATTAAAAATGTAGTAACATCAATTTATTTTCACAAGCTCTGTTTTCTATAACTTCAAAAATCCACCTTCCTTGTATAGGATTCAGCGTTACTTGCAATGATGCCAAGCACTTCCCAAAAAAGGCACATTTCTGCTTTTTGCTCTTTCCAATCTGCGTAAGAAAGTAGCAGCTGCTGACCTAACTCAGATAGCTGGAACTTGAGGAAGTTGCTTCAGCTCTCCAGCAATGGTATTTTTAGAGCCCTGACCAATAAAATTTGTAGGTGTTATCCTTCACTTAATCTCTTCATCTGGTGACAAGCAAAATTAGGGAAACAGATATCTCATTTGTGTGTGCACATAAAGGAAAGAGCCTTTCTAAATTGCACTATAGGCTGCTCTCAGACTGGTAAGTGTTGCAGACTTTGAGCCCCTCACCCCCTGCTACTCAAGATACCTTCTCCATTCAGACCGCTGCATTTGTCTTTTTAGCTTAAACTGGGGTAACAGTCCCGATGCTTTCATTGTCTGCCTCATCTTCTTTCCTTTTTTTAGCTTTTATGTTACCTGTAGAGTGAATTATCTCATCCAATGAAGGGGTTCCCCTAGGGAAGAAAGATCCTACCTGAACCAACTTTTACTATTATTTTCATTTTACGGAGCACCCAAATGTGCTAGTTTTTTCCAGCATGCAGGCCCACATACTCAAGAACTTACAGATAAGACACGAAAGTGAACTAGAGTAAAATAAACTATATTAACAGAAAAATACCCCAAGGATATATTCAGGCTAGTGCTGCAACTGAGATCAGGGTCAGGATCAATATCTGATTATAATTAACTAGTTACAACACTGTGGGTTTTTAAGAACAGATTTGCTGAATTTAGTTACACGGCAAGCATAATCTGAATAGACTTGACCCCAAATTCCTCAGCTAAGGAATCTTGTTTGTCATTTGCATCAGCCCAGTTATTCTGCTAGGACTGATTAAAAGAAAGGATTTCAGTTGTGTCAGTCTTCCGTGGCAACCGTGAAACACTGTAAGATCAAATAATCTGTCAATCCATATCACCAAAATTATTTTAATTTATGAACATGCCTTGGGCCTATTACTTTCATCATTCATTTTGTTGGCAAAGCTCCTGTTAAATTCAATGGCATGCAGGAGGTGTAACTCCTGCATTATAAACTACTTGGCCACCTCTAAGCAACCTTTACATAGATTTAATAAATTTCAAGAAAGAGCTAAATAATACTGAGATATCTTATACTACCTTAATGGTAAATTGATTTTTTTTGTTTAATTGCTTCAGTTAGTTCTCACTACTTAAGTATATTTGGAGCTGAGACCATAATATTCAGAGTCCTTTCAATATCTGTCTTATATTAATGTAAGCCCACTAAATGGTATGCTGGTGATATTACAGTCATCAATGGACTGTTTCACTGTGTTAATTCCCTTTCTTTCACACTATCAATCCTGGATTCCTTCCTGTAGTGCAAAGGTTTAGCAGAAATAGGAGAGGACAGCCTTACCCTGCTGAGTTCATAGCTCTACACATGCTTTTGAAACAACGCACAGCGATAAAAGAATTTGAAGTTCAGAGAGTGAAGGGACACCATCCAAGGTATCAGAAGAGCTGAGTTTTTTGCCTCTGATACAGAAGAAACCTGACAGTGCTGCATCCACTACTCTATCAAAGGACAGCAGACCTCCCCTATTTTGAGTGAATGCAATCCCACACAAGGTGGGCACTCTCTAAGAATGCTTACCAAAGCAAGCCCTCCCCTGGGAGATGGAGAAATAAACCTTTACTATACAGGACTGGTGGTTAGCTCCAGCAGGGACTTCTTACTGTCAAGAGCTGAGAAGCTTTTTGTGATCCTCAGAACCAGAACTTTAGGTGTCTCAGAAACTTCAAGTTTTAAAAAAGATTAGTTGTCCACAGAGTTTAGACAAGGCGAAGCACTAAGGTTTGTCACAATCAAGCTAGCAGTGAATACAGCTCCTTATTTCTTTTAATAAAGGAATAAATTAATAAGTAAACTTCATTATTGTCTGCCCATATGTATACATATATATGTGTGTGTGTGTGTATACACACACTTTAACAAGTAATTTCCTGATTGTTTTCTGGCTGTAGCAGGTAGCAGATATACAAAAATTAAGAGTTTGTTACACAAGAATCCCATGCTTTGCTACTTGACATCATTCAACAACACAGACGTGTTCTGTCCGAAAATAATTGACCTGGCATATTTGAACTAACTTCATTAATTAACTTAATATGATTAACTATCTAAGTTTCCAGTGTAAACAGTAATACTCTTCTTTTTAGAAAGCATTAGCACCAAACAGAATTGTAAGTTTGTTCACAAGATATACAGTATTCTCATGGGATAGTGCAGCAGGTCCTGCTCAGCTGCTTAAACCTTAAAAAACAGTAGTGTAAGAAACTTGGCATAACCACTTAGGACACTGTACATCATAGCTAACTAGGCTAACTAGTATCTTAGTTCCCGTAGTTTTTATATTAACCAATGGAAATTAGTCAAATGGTTAGTTATGTCAAGTTTTCCCCAAAATGCGCAGTAAAAAACTAAAGTTAAAAAAACCCCTTCTTCCTGAAGTGACAAATAACTCAAATTGTTTTCAATGTGTTTGCTTTCTTTATATACTTGGAGAGTTACATAAATAACGTATTGACAGGTTGAGCCTTCCTTCTTAAAAAGAAAACATCAAAAAAGACCTGATGACATAATACAATACAAAGCAAACTTATTCAAAATTATTTTTTCAATACCAAGTAAAAATTTATGTGAGACATGAGAAATTACTTGCAAATTAGCTCATGTAAAGGCAATCGAAAACAGCTTTTTTAAAAAAAAAAGTAAACACCTTAAAATAAAGTTATTGAAAATTAGAACCCCATTTCTTCTTGGACAGATAATAAAAATAGAATATTGGATGAAGAACTGACAAAATATTATGAAATTTCTTGTAAGGAGATGCAAACATAACTTTGCATAATTACACTACATATGGGCATGGGCATAGGCATAGAGAAATTCAGATCCTCACCCACAGCCTTTTTGATCTTCGACTGCTATTTACGTGCTCTCTAGCTTAAGTCACAGAGTAATGAAAGAGCCAGCATCATCTCCCCTGGACTGAGATGCCCCAGGAGTTCTCAGCTGAATGGCTGAGCTGTTCGCAGCCTTTGCCTGTAATTAAGGTCTCATAGCCCAGTGTTTTGGAATCATACAAGAAAAAATCCCAGTTATACAGGCAAGAAAAGCCTGGAGGCTGTGCACACAGTCACTTTAGTCAAACTGGATATCCATCCTTGTTGCTGATATTGCAAAATAAATTCTATTGCATGCAGCCACACTTAACAAATTTGACTGCCTGGTGGGACGTCTAAAACTACAAAAACCATGGAGGTACATTACTCTGTAGAGACAGAAATTCTGATTACTAGCACCCCTCAAGGGCGTATGTCCCATAAGGCATACGCAGTTCACAAAACCAGTCAGGCATTCGGAAGCTTGTTCTGAGCTGACATCCCCAGTGGGGTCCATCACACAATCAAACACGCGTCTCTTGTGATGCAGAAGGGGACAGCGAAGTTCTCAGAAAGATGTCAGTTGGAGGAGGCTTCTCCTGCCACAGAGATTAACTCAGCCCCTTCTGCCTGTCTGTAACAGACCCCCAGGAAAGGCAACTGTCAAGATTCTTATCACTCTTGCACAGGAACACATTTCTGAAACACTCTCTGCTGTACATCCATTGCAGGAAGGCAAAGGTTCATACATGCTCCACTACTGCGGAGCATATATAGCGCGTGCTTCCAGAAATGTGCATGAGGTCTGTTTCTGGGATGAGAAAAAGCACAGCAGTGTGCTACCTTTGCAGTCTGGATCCACCAGCCAGAAAAGCTGGGCTTCTACAGTCTAGCACATATACATGGCACGATAACAGTGAGGAGTAATTCAGATCTGGCTCATTTTTGCTACATGGTATTTTCCTAGTAGCAAAGGCAGGAGATTGTTTGCTGAATATAGAGAATGCAGATTGAAGACCTGCACCTCACCTGAGAGATAATAAATAAGTCACTGCAACTTTATCAGGTTTGGAGGTGTGCACGTTGCCTTGGGCTTGCACAAGCAGGGTTTCACACCAGGCTCTGCTGCAGGTGACTTTTTCTGAGCAAGACTCTAACATAGTGACAGCCCCCCGTAGCACCACTTTGAAGCTAAGAGCTTCACTTCTGAGTGTTCAGTTTCACAAGCTTGACATTATTTTAAGGAAGCTTTTTCCTACACAATCTGAATTGAGAATGAACACGGATTGTCACAGAATTCGAACTCCTTACTCTATTTTGTGGATGGTTCTATTTATTCTCTCTTTCCTTTTTTTCCTAGCTATAATGACATTTTGCAGGTCTTTTCAAAATCAGCATTTTACTTTTCTTGTCAGCAGGGATGAGGGTGAAGCAGTTAAGATAAACGATTGGAACTCTGCCATCCAGGTGGACTGTCAGCATGTTAAAAAACAGATTGAAACCGGGAAGGAACTAAGTGAAAATTTATGCTCTGTTGGCTGCTTCTCATTAAGAAACATTTGCTCATGAATCTTACATTTTCAGCCTGGATTTCACTGAGTGATAAGAGCATGACATCATAGTCTTTTCTGAATTGGGGGGGTAACATCTGAAAAAAACAACTTTACAAAGAATAAAGGTTTTAGTCTTTTTTTCACTCTTTGTTTTATTTTAAAAAATTAAACAGCCTTTTCACCAATTATATTTCTTATTTTTTGTAAGACCCAAGCCATGCCTTGGAGACTGTGCACTGAGTCCCACTGACCTCAGAAGGACTATGTCTCATACATGCTTCCGTCCGTGGATTTTGGTATCTAATTCTACATTTTTCAAGAGATTTGTGGCTTTCAGAGACTTTGGAATTCCCATCTGAATAGATCATAAGTATGTGCTTACAAGAAAGTGCCACTCACTGTCCTTATGAAAATCAAGCCTTCAGCTAGTTCTATAGATTTTTATCTATAGAGAGCAAACCCACAAAATAAACTCATTTTGAAAACATAAACCTCTGAGTATTTTTTCTTTTGGGGACAAGGAGACCACTATTTACTTCTTTACTGATATATTCACACATTTTTTATGAAGTCATTTTCAATACATACCAAAAGCATTTGATGTTTCTATAACTGAAAAACTGCAAGTGAAAATACTGACATTCATTTCTCCTGAGTAAATCTAGAAAACAGTTCATTGAGCAGTGAAGTGAGGCCTTGGAGATCTGGATTCTGTTTGCAGCTCTGTTGTGATCTGGAGAGAGACCCTATAAAGGGATCCCTCTGCATGAACCTCCCCACCTGTAAGTGATCTAATTCTTCTCCAATCTGAAGAGGACCTTTAGATCATGGTCTGGAAGCTAGGGATCCATACTGCTTTACAAAGAACTGACCTGCGCCACAGTTTGCCAGCTAGTAGCATCATCCTCACTTGGATGGATTCCTTGATTCCACCTCCTCTGAACAACATAGATCACAGGCTCAATGGAAATATTGAATTTTGAAGACCACTTCACCTCCAGGTCTCCAGACTGAAGTTCTATGAATTTTAATTCTTTCCGGGGTTTCAGTGGAACACCTGTAATAGGAACGTGCAGACAAAAATATGTGAGTAATTTACAAGATGAGATTAAACCGTATGTAGATGAAGTTGTATAAAAAAATAATTAAAAAAAAAAAGGAGATTGTTGGTCAGACAGAAGGAAAAAAGGGGTGAATGGATAGGCTGATGGGCATGGGAGTTTCAGAAGTGTCATAGATGACCTATCTCTGCTAACAGTAAAACTTGTTTTTAAAAAATCTTCAAAATTAATTCTTTATTTAATTCAAAAACGAAGGATCTGAAAGTTGTAAGCTAAAACTGATCTCACTGAAAATGCTTTCCAAATATGCTTTGATAACCTGGAGAAAGAACCCTTTGATCCCAAGCAGAATCAGCTATACCTGTTGTTCAGTTTTTCACCTAATCTGTCCTTAAACACATCTAATGACAGAATTTCCACAGCATGACATAGTAATCCATTCCATTACTTCTCTACCCTTACCATTAGAAAGCTTTCTCACCTTGTTTAGTCTCCTCCACTGCATCTTAAACTCTATACTTGTCCATGATGTTAATGGATTGTGGAGAACAGATTCTTTCTTTCACCTATGGAGGAGCCTTTTATATACTGCAAGACTGTTATCATGCCTCTGAATGTTTTCTTCTTCAGTCTAATAACCACAGTGCACTCCATTTTCCTTTTAAATCAGTGTTTCTAGACCTCTGATCATTCTTGCAGTTGTCTCTGGAAACTCTCCCTTTCGCCCAAAGCCCTTCTCCAGAGTCAAGCCTAAAACTGGACACAGACTGTGTCTAAGATCTTACCAGTGTAGACTAGAGAAGCAGGATTATTTCACACATTTTACATTAGTCTGATATACTTAAGAAAGCTGTTTGCCTTCTCCGTGGCAGCATCATCTTATTGACTCACATGCAGCTGTATTGTATGATGTGCCACTCTCCACTCTTCCCTAAAGATGTAGGAAAGGTAATTCCAAGGCATCTTGGAATAGATATGTTATATCTAATGTATATTGTCCAATTACATTTCAGAGACAAAGATGTCTTTCTAAAATTTTACAGTAATTTCTCATTACACAGTGATACTGAAGGACAGTTATTTCTGTTGTTTCTACTGCTGGTAACATCACCTTTTCGAAAACATCTGCAGTAGCTTGAAGGAAAAAACAACTCTTCAGATTTGGCATCTTTTGATTAAAACGACAAATCAAGTGTTAGATACATTTCTCAAGACAGCCTTTAGGAACTCATATATTTGAGTGCACAGCATTTTGTCACTTCAGGATATGTGACAAATAAGATTTCTATGCTGACATATAAACCTTGTTAGCAAGTTATTGCATGCACTTTAGCTATTTTGTCATTTCAGTGGGTGTCCACATAAGTCCACCTGTATGTGTTGGTTCGATAAATTGTTTCCTACTCAGTCTGCCACAGATGACCAAGTACCAAAATTTCCTTAGGTGAACAAGCCACTTTTATATTTTTAGAGGTCTTCTCCTAAATCTGATTATACAATTAGCTATAAGTAAATAAAAATTGATATTGTAGCCCTTGAAGAAACCTAAAATCAACCTGAGGAAAATCCAGTCCTTAAATCTGGTTATCACAGCAGTTTAAACCCTGGATATCCTTCAACAGCCAGCAATCTTAGTCTACTATAATGAACATCACAGAACACATCAGTTCGGATTTCCACATTTGAAAATCCTTCTTTAATTATGATGTACCATAATCCTACAATTTGCATGTTAAGAAAACTTCCATCTGCTTTGCATTAGGGGCAGTTGGATTCACTTGATTGCAAGTATCTCAGCCTCTCCGTTGTTACGTAATTGCGTGCAGATGGAGCGCAGCAGCACAAACAACCAGAGCACAGCACAAGTGCATTTTAAAATACTTTTGTAGAACCAGCACCATCAATTTCATATCCAGATGTGTAGATCCAATCACTCTTCAATGTGCTTTTTATTATGTAAATGGCCAGCCCTTTCATCGTGCTGGAACAAATTAGTCCTCTGAAGTCTGCAGTGCTTAACTGAAGAATTCAAATCACTGACTGCTGTATGTGTGCAATACCAGAGCCCAGGAACAATGTTTCTAAAGGTGTCTTTCAGATGGCACATGCATCTCCGTGCCATGAAAAATAAATGCACACTGGTCCATCATAAGAATCTGTACCTTTAATGTCAGTTCCCCAGGAACTCAAAAAGTTTCCATGGAAGGGTTTTGGACAGTAAAGGGTACATTCATGGTGTCAGTACGATTGTAAACACAGTTGTTCAAAGACTCGGAGATGCACACCTTTAAAACTGTACACTATTTTTTTAATACAAAACTATTTTTCTTTAAGCATGAAAAGAGTCTGTAAACTGTGGATGACCATCTGGCTCCTGCTATCTTATTATTGTCATACCATCATACCCTTAAAATGTCATAATCTTCTCGTCACAATTTACCTTGCCCAGATCTGCAGTTTGCTCTGCTGTATGGATTGCTCCCTTACACATTTCAGACAAAATTAGTGTCCTGGTTTTGGCTGGGATAATTTCCTTCCTAGTAGCTGGTACAGTGCTGTGTGTTGGATTTGGGATGAGAATAATGTTGATAACACACTGATGGTTTAGTTGTTGCTAAGCAGTCAAGGACTTTTCAGCTTCTCGTACTGGCCTGCCAACAAGAAGGCTGGAGGTGCACAAGAAGCTGGGAGGGGGCACAGCCAGGACAGCTGACCCAAACTGGCCAAAGGGACATTCCATACCATGTGACGTCATGCTCAGCACATAAACTGGGGGGAGCTGGCCAGGGCGTGGCTGCTGCTCGGGGACTGGCTGGGCATCGGT